CTAAACTCTCCCTGCTATCCCCAGAGTATTCCTAATCCTGTCTGGCCAGTTCTTCTACAGATCCCTCTGCAGCTTTGCCTGACATCCTCTGAAGCAAGTGTCACTGATGTCTCCGTCAGCAGGGGCAAATGTGAATTGTCACCTCTTCCTTGGAGAGAAACCGTAGACTCTCTGAGGGCCATCCTCCCTACACCAGGGCGAAGGGGGATGCGTGTGGCTGCTTTCAACCATGACACTTACGGGTATTCTCGCCAGGGGCAAGCTCCTTGTCTCCCGGTCCTACCGGACTTCCTCCTTGTCCCTACCTGCAGTGTGTTTGTTTTCTTTTTCTTCCTTCCTAACCAGTTCTTACCCTGAAACCAGCCAGCATTGTCCTGTGGATCAAAACCTCTTGCATTTAAAAATACTGATAAAGGGGGCGCCTGGGTGGCTCAGTCATTAAGCGTCTGCCTTCGGCTCCCCTCATGATCCTAGGGTCCTGGGATCAAGCCCTGCGTCGGGCTCCCTGCTAGGCAGGAAGCCTGCTTCTCCCTCTCCCACTCCCCCTGCTTGTGTTCCCTCTCTTGCTGTGTCTCTCTCTGTCAAATAAATAAATAAAATCTTTAAAAAAAAAATACTGATAAATTTCTACACTGTTTTTGCTATGCACTTAAAATCCTGCCACGCTGGCAGGTAAACCTTAAATGTTGGGATGCAGTTCATAAGGGAAGAGGCCTTAGAAGCCACACCGGCAGGCCCTGGGTCCTATGTGACCTGTTCACACGCATTTTTGTGCCCACACGTTTGCCCCGTGCATGTCCCTGTAGACCACAGGCCAAACTGCAGGATTCTCCCTCTCTAGGTACCACCCACCACTTCCTGAGATCCTGGCTGTGTCCCATATGACCTTCCAGCCCTGAGTACAGCGGGGCAGGGGGGATCCTGGCTGCCCCCCGCCAGCACCCACACTCTCTTCTGCCCCTCTCTCCTGCCTGCATTGTTTCTTTACCCATGGGTCTTTTTTCAGCATCTCCTTTAAATCCATGGTATGCTGCATCCAAAAGGATCTACAGCCCCCTCTCGCCATCCCCTCCACATCTCCCTGACACCACAACCTACCCTTTACCCTTTCACTCAGGCAGCCTGGCTTGAAATGGATGAGATGTGCAACTCTTGATTTCTGGGGGCAACAACTGATCCAAAATGGACTGGGTCAGAGCTGGGAAGCAAACACTGGCTGTGTCAGATTGCCAGAGCAGGGCAAGGTCAACTGTCTGTGCTGGGGTTCCCAGGGGCCTGAGGATGCTTCTCCCAGATCTGGACACTAGAGCTAAGTGTCCACAGAGGAGCTGGTCACGAGGCTGGTGGGTGGGAGAGGATAGAGGGTGTCCCAGTCCCATGTGTGAGGGAGGGGCTGCACTGAGGGACTGGGGTATGTGCTCTGTGGCCCAGGGGAGACGGGGGTCCAGCACCTCTCAACAGCAGGCACCATTGGCATATCAGTGGATGGGTTTCATGGTGGCTTCGGTCTGTGAACTCACCAGATAAATAGGTTAGCCTCTTTTTTGACATTCTTTCTGTTGGAACTTTATGTTCCAAACAGCTAAATTGTAAGCACTGCAACCCTTGTCCCCCTTGAGGGCAGGCCTGGGTTTCCACTCTTCTCTGGGTGGAGGATCAGCTTTCATAGGTTCCCCCCCCCCCACTTCCCCTTTTTTCTTTTTTGAACTCCATGATCCAGGGATTCCCCTCTTTGGAGCTATTTAAGCAGAAAGGCGTTAGCAAGAGCAGCCCGGAAGGACTCGTGCCCCAGAGGGAGGCCACTTGGGGGGCCCGTGGCAGGCAAGGGGAGCGTGTGGCTGTGGCCTCCAAGCCGCCATCTGAACTGTGTGTGGTCTTCCCGGGGCCGCTGCCTGTGGCAGCTGTACCATCCCCACACGGGTGCCCCAGGGGAGGATCGCCTGTGTTTCGGATGAGCCTCAGAGCCTACGAGGACCACGGGTTTGTGGAAGGCCTTCACGCAGCCTGGCTTTTCCGAGCACCTGGCCTTACGCAGATGAGGCAGCCGTGGGTCTGGATCGCTCACATCCTTAACTCTCAGCAGACCTGGCTCCTAGTGGGGGAAATTGGAGGCAACGGCTGCCTCCAGAACAGAGGGATCAAGCTTTGCTGCTAGGCCTGCTGAATCTGTTGTTTAGACTCATTTGGGGGTTGCAGCTGGTGAGACACACCTGCCAGTGTTTCCTGACAGACTCTGGTTAGAGGACCGGGAGTGGTGTGATGATGAAACGTTGTCCTGGACATGGGCTTCAGACAGCCTTGAGCTTGAACTTCACTGCAGGAGCTTGGACAAATTCTTCACCTCTGTAAGCCTCCATTTCCTTGCCTGTTTCCAGAGGCTGGGCCAGAAGGCAGGGAGGCTGGGAGATGCCACGTCATGGGTAATCACGACTGACTAACACATAAAACCTGAGTGCTGGACCTGGAACTGGTACTTGTCCCGTAAGGGGCAGCCCCAGCTGGTGGGGGGCAGTGAAAGAGGTCTGACCCCCCTCCTTTGGTCTGAGACGCCCCGGGAAAGCAGAGGCCTCACCTCTCATCAACAGAAGTTGTGCCTGAACCAAGATTGCAGAGAGAAGCTCAGGGCATTAAGTTGTTTACCATGGGATTTTGCGGGTATAGAAAGGAACTGTTCTCCATATTGCTCAAAAAACCCAGTGACTTTCATCTGTGGAACACGGTGATTTTGCAAACTCCGATGAGTTCCCAGAATGCCTTTGTGAGCTTGGCAGTGGATAGCTTTATGGGTGAGGAAGAGAGCGGGCGAAGTAACCTGCCCCACAGCCTGCGGGGGGCGGGGGTGTTGGCCTCTCCACGGACTTCGGAGAGTTGGTGTCCATCTCTGCTTGGTCCTGGCTACAGTTGGACGGTATTTGCTTTCTTGTCTTGGCTTTGCTCAAGCAGCGGTTGATACGGAGACCAGAAACTGTACCAGCTCTGCTTTCGCTGACTGACAGGATATGGGGCCCGGGAAGGAGGTGGCAAGATAGGTCATTGGATGGGGACAGTTTGTGACAGGCCAACAGTGCTTCCTCAGAGTTTTGCAAGGAATCCCTGTGTTCTTTGTGTTACTACTGGTCACTGGCTGACTTTGTCCCAGAGTGCTTTATGGCGGTACCAGCAAAGCCTAATCATGACCGGTCCCCATCTGGCAGTGTGGACCTGGCCTTAGCAGGAATGCCTCACTTGGATGCTTGGTGTGCAGATTCCAGACTCGGCTGTTTAAATATGTCCAGAGGAACCCTAAGAGCCATGCTTCCAAAATGAGCAGCAAGAAGGAATTGCATGGAGGAAGGCGTTTGATTTTACCCACTTTCTCTCTCACCCCCTGCCCCTACTCTAGCCCCAGTAGCTGGTTCCTGTGTAGGGGTATTTGGGAAATCCATGCCAGACCTCCAGGAAAAGCAGGCTGCCATTTTTGTGATGTTTCTTATTTCAAAGGCCGAAAGGAAAGCCCTGAGCATGATTGCTTTCCCTGTGCCAAATACGTTTCTCCTCTGAAACTCAAGGCCTTCTGTGTCTACACCCTGAGTGGAAAGGGGAAAGGAGCCCTCACTACCTGCATGCGAGAGTGTATGTTAGTAGTCCCTTGCAGTTGAGAGGTACCAGCACACAACTCTCCTTGTTTTCTGTGCTGACTTGATTCAGCTGTCTTCTGGGCTAACCCATAGGTGGCCCGGCCTGTGCACGGCCACTGGGGTATCTTTCTGCATTTCAGTTTTAGGAAGTCATTCTAATTTAGTGCATGCTGATTGCATAACTCCCAAGAGGTTCCTTCTTTATTGGAACTTTGCTGTTGTTTCCAGAAACCTCCGGTACCGTAATGGGAGGGCACAGAAAGTCATTTGCTGGCAGGGGCATCTTTGTGGGCGTGCAAACCTGTCTCATCTCCCCAAGTCCCCATGCTCACAGGGGCCCCGAGGTTGGGGTTTAATGCTGTGCAGTTGCAGTCTTGAAATCCTTAATAGTTTTACCTTTGAATTTGTATTTCGTAAGTGAAGTCCAGTAGGACAGTGGAGTGTGTCCTAGGGACTTGGAGCCTCGGCTCCCATGATCCTACTTACTACCACCTCCCTGCCTCCCCCGCGTGGGTTCTCAGCCCTGCCACACTCTGCCCCTGGCGGGGCCCAGACACAAGAAAAGTTGGTGTTATGTGTGTGCACCCCCTGGCCTTTTGGAATAGGGCATGGTGGCAGTTGTCCCCATCACGAGTTGGCAGCTCCATGGCCTGTTCAGTGGGTCACTAGACAGGGGCAAGGCTGCCCGCTACCCCTGATCCAGGTACCCGATGCATCCAGACACAGACGTTGTAGTACCCTTGGGGGTCAACTGTCTTCCGTGGTTGGAGTCCCTGGGAAGAAGAAAGACCTGTTCAGATGGCCCTTCCCGGCTGGGTCATAGCACATCGTCCAGCTGCTGGTGGGAAGGGAAGCCAGCTGTGGGTGGTCGCCTGTGCACGTGCACTCGTCCCTGGGGCCCCCAGGCGCCTGTGAGGTGCGGTGCTCAGCCTGCATGAATCCTCACACCGCAGAGAGAGATGGCATAAGCAGCCAAACAACCATCGTGACATGCACAACAGCATGAATGTGCTTAATGCCACTGAACTATACACTTAAAAATGGTGACAATAGTAAATCTTATGTGTGTTTCATTACAATAAAAAAATTATACAGTATTTAAAAAACAAAAACGAAAAAACACCAGAACAGGTAGAAAGAGACCATGGAAGGAAGGAAAAAGCTTTATATTGAGTACCGTTAATGGCACTTTTTTTTTTTGCTGCTTTTTGAATAGGGGCCCCACATTTTCCTTTTGCACTGAGCCCCAAGTTACATGGCCAGGCCGGCCTTTTGGCCACTCTGTGAAACTGCCTGGTCTTTCCCTTTCAAGGGGCCTGCCCCTGAGTCCTGAAAGCGGTTTGCCAAGCAGACTCTTACCTTTCCTCTCTTCTCCCCACACAGGTCTTCTGTTGGCTGTGTGCCAGGCCCTGGAGAACAGCACATCCGCCCTGAGTGGTGAGTCCCGTCCCCTGTCCCCTCCGTGGGGGATGAGTAGGGGACCAGAGCAGACCTCGGCTGCTGGGTGGAGCCTGCCCTCTAAGCTTCCTGAGGAGCTCCTGGCCCTTCTGCTCATGCAGGGCTGTCCCCTGCACCCCTGGGGCCCGGTTGCGCTCCTGAGGGGTCTTCGTTGCAGGAGCAGGGGGGCTGTTCCCCCTCCCCTAAAGGCTTGCCATCTCCCAGCTCTGTTCAGACAGTCCATGTGGGCAAGGGTGCTGGAGAGCTCGGGACCAGCCCCAGTCTTCCAGCTCATGTAATCATGCGTCTAAAGAGGAGCCCAGATTCCTGAACCCTTTGTCTGCTTCTGCCTGGTGATCTTTGTTTCGTTATTTTATGCGTTGTCTTTTGACATTTCTGGTAATATTTCCCTTATTTCAAAGATCCTAGATCAACATATTGGGAGGTTTGGGCAATGTAGAAGGCAAATGTCTCCTGGTCAGAGTACTGCAGAAGCATCTGCTGTTGCATTGCTTTTAGCCTATGTCCAGGTGCACTCATAATTTTATACAGTTAGTCATGGTGAGGAAACGATTTTGATTCCTGCTTTTGAAACTCAAGTTTTCAAGTTGTGCATTTCTCCATGTTGCTGGAAAGTCTTTAAATTTTTCCTTTTAAAATATCATGTTCGGGCGCCTGGATAGTGCAGTCAGTTAAGCATCCAACTCTTGGTTTTGGCTCGGGTCATGATCTCAGGGTTGTGAGATCGAGCCCCACTTCAGGCTCCACACAGCAGGGAGTCTGCTTGAGATTCTCTCCCTCTCTCTCCCTCTGCCCTTCCCCCTCCACACACACACTTGGGTGTGCTTGCTCATGTGCTCTTTCTCTCTCTCTCCCTCAAATAAATAAATAAATCTTTTTAAAAAGGTCATGATGTTCCACTAAAATGGACATGTGTAATTCAATTAAGCATTCTCTTTTGTATATTTATGTTGCCTCCTGTTTAAATTATGATGCTCCCTCTTCATGCCTAGAAGCTTTTCCCTTTCAGATTCTTTCCTCAGGGTATGTCTCTGGGAACACGAATAAATATATTTATGACCCTTGTAACAAATTGCCAAATAGCTACGCCAGCAGTGCCTGAGTCTGCCAGGTTCGCTATTCCCTTGTTGACGGGGAGTATGTTCCCATCTGTTACTACGGCGGACCCCTGCTGTATCTCCCTAATAGTTATTTCAGGAAGGTGTGTATGGCGGGGAGGGGGGTTCTTATGTATTCATAAATCCTCTAACTAACCGCAGTGTCCCTGATACTTTGCTCTTCTCCGCTTCCACACCTTTCCCTCCAAACACACTGGAGGGGATGCTGCCACTCCCACTGGGTACCACTGCTTCTGTGGCCCCACACTTTCCCCCTTGGAGCGGTTATCCTTGATGCAGTTGGACCCTTAAAGTGTCCAAGCTACTTGGTGGCCCATGATGCCACAGAAGGAAATGCCTTACTTCCTCTGTGTTATGCTTGGCATAAGGGTGTGTCTATCCCAGAGCAGTGCTTCCGAGGTCCAGGGTCTACCAGAATTTCCACTTTTTAATTACGTCCCCTGTCACAAAGGGCTCAGATGTGAATATATTGGGGGTAAAGTGGGGGCTTGTGGTTTGTTCCACCACACTGGTCTCAGAATTGTCCTGTCTCCCTTCCTAGGATGCATTTATCCCCAGGTGCATCCTTAGCCCCTCCTGATCCTCACTGCCGGACCCAGTAGGGCAAAGAGCCAGGTTCTCTACTGAGTCACTTGCAGGTGGTAAGTTGCAATGATGGCAGATGCTGATACTACCATCCAATGATGGCAGATGCTGATGCAACCAGGTGCTCCTGGTCATTTTACCCTCCTCCCGATCTCCTTCCATTCATACAGACAAGAGAGGCCTGTCCTACCTGAGCCTATTTCATCATGTGTAGCTCCTGCCAGGGCCCTTTGGGGTTTTTCAGTCTCTCCTGGGCAAACATGGGAAGACCTGCTATATTCATCCCAAAATGACTGTCCTTGCTGCACTAGTGACCAGCTTCTGTTGCATCTTTCTGGACTTGCTTCTATGAGAATGTCTCTGACATCAGCAAGTACCTGAGGTTTATCCTTCCTCTTTATGATCTATCTTCACAGAACTCGTCACGCCCTACTGTGTTGCACATTACCCTGTACCGGGCTGGGGGCTGCTCTGTGGCCCAGTGTGGGGGGTGAGAGCATGGGCAGTGCCACGACTTCCGGCATCCGGGGGGCCTTGAGATCCCAGAGCTGATTGGAGGTCTGTGGAGAAGGAAAGTGGGCTGCCTGTCTGGCCTCTGCACTGCTGTTTGATAGGTCACTTAGCTATGGGACTTGATAGAATAGCTCTTTCCATTTTTACTTACCCTCCACCTGTCCCGTTGGACCCAGACAGGAGTTCAGAGAGGGCTGCTCAGGGACACAAGTCCACATGGCAGTGATGGTGTCAGAGCCGCCTTTCCAAGGGCTAGGGCTGTGCCACTGAATCAGGCTTGTTTGCTTAACTTCCTCTTCCTTTAGGGTGACCTTCCTTCTTCTCAAAGACTCCTCGGGCCCTGGGAGGCCTTGACCACCCCCACTCTGTCCCTACCAGACATAACTGAAATTCTGTCGTGGGTGTAGTGCAAACCAGCCACACTCACCACCCCCAACACTGGATTGCATACTGAACTCCTGCCTAATTCAATAAGTAAAAGTACTGATGACTGTGTACTAATGGAAATCTTTATACACAGAAGAGAAATAATAGTGAAATCAGTCCCCATACACCCGTCACCCAGCTTCGGCAGTTCGCAGCATCTGCCATTTTTCTTTCCTCTATTCTCAACAGCATTTTGATTTTTCCCTTTGCTGGGATAATTTAAAGCAAAGTCCATTTCACTTGTGAATGTTACTTATAGGTCACAGGTAAGGATTTTTTCTTTTTATGTTCAGTTAGCCACTGCATAGTACATAATTAGTCCTTGATGCAGTGTTCATTGATTCGTTAGTTAAGTATAACACCCAGTGCTCATCACAGCACGTGCCCTCCTCAATACCCATCACCCTGTTAACCCCCCCTCCCACTCTCCTCCCCTCTGAAACCCCCAGATTGTTTCTCAGGGTCCATAGTCTTTCATGGTTCATCTCCCTCTCTGATTTCTACCCCTTTTGATTTCCCTCCCTTCCCCTATGATCCTCTCTGCTATTGCTTATGTTCCACATATAAGTGAAACCATATGATAATTGACTGTCTCTGCTTGACTTCACTTAACATAATCCCCTCCAGTTCCATCCATGTTGATGCAAATGGTGAATATTCATCTTTTCTGATGGCTGAATAATATTCCATTGTGTATATGTACCACGTCTTCTTTATGCACTCATCTGTCGAAGGGCATCTCGGCTCCTTCCCTACAACCCAGCAATTGCACAACTGGGTATTTATCCCAAAGATACAGATGTAGTGAAAAGAAGGGGCACGTGCACCCCAGTGTTCATAGCAGCAATGTCCACAATAGCCAAACTATGGAAGGAGCCGAGATGCCCTTCAACAGTAAGGACTTCAAAAAAAACAAAACCATAGTCCCATTTCACCAACAAAAGCAACAATAATCCCTTCTTGTTAGATCCTTAAATCTGGAGGGTAGATGAAGCTGCGTTCAATGTTTTGTTGTACCTCGCTTAATTTGCATTTCCTTTAATGTTTTCATCTTTTGCTTTCTACTTATATTTCCTTTTGGGTGAACACTGTTTTTGTTAAGTGTGCTCCGTTGTGGACAGGGTAACTGACGGGCACACCTGAGTCCCTCCTAACCCCTTATGCTCTGGTTGTCTGTGGGCTCCCTTACTAAATCCCAGAACTATCCATTTAGGTGTAAAGATGGGCTGCTGGAGGACAGAAGCTATCCAAGGCTTTACCCATGACGTGAATATGCAAGCCTCTTCACTCTAAGGGTTGACAGGAATGAGAAACAGTAATGGATATAAGAAGGTTTTGATACATTCTTTTTTTTTTTTTTAAGGATTTTATTTATTTATTTGACAGAGAGAGACACATCAAGAGAGGGAACACAAGCAGGGGGAGTGGGAGAGGGAGAAGCAGGCTTCCCACTGAGCAGGGAGCCCCATGTGGGGCTCGATCCCAGGACCCTGAGATCATGACCTGAGCCGAAGGTAGATGCTCAACACCTGAGCCAGCCGGCACCCTGGTTTTGAAACATTCTCATTGCTGGTACTGGGGCACAGGCACACTCGGGATTCAGCTCTAATGTTTTGATGGAGCAGCACGGAGAGAAAATTGCAAACTCTGTGTGCCAGTCAATGGTGGCACATGAACTTGAGGGAACATGGGGCTGACCCCATGTGGCTTTCTTGTGCTTTTGGAAAAAAAAGTTTCATGATCTTATTTCTTGAAAGTTGTCCTTGGCCTTTCTTATTGAGGTTTCATTGTTTTCTTCTGCTCTTCCTCTCTCTTAGACCCCCAAATGTAAAGGGTCACTTATGCCACAGGCATAGGAAACTGGCATTATTGTTGTCAGTAAATGCTTTTCAGACATCCACTTTGAGTGGGACACTGGAGAAATACATGCCTCAGGCTGAAGGTCAGGAATCTGGGGATTGGGCCCAGCTGGTCTGTTTCTACCGAGCCCCTGGGTCTGTCTCCCGTTTGGATATGAGTTTCCTCATCTGTTGGACTCGAATCAGGAATAGTCTATAAAGTTTTTCACATGACCACTCTGATAGATTGGTAGGGATTGCTTGGAAGGCTTTGTTGAGAAGGATTATAAGGCTGCCTTCAGGCTCTTGGGAAATATGGCCATGGTCCATGAGTGTTGCCTGCCGTGGACCCTAGGGAGGGAAGCAATAGTGTGACTGCCATGTATTTCATTCTCTTGGAATTAGATGCTCTTTTACACTTAGCTTCTAAAATTCTAGTTGCTGGGACTATACAAACAAGCAGTCCTCCTCCATCCTTGCGCTCGGAGAGCCCACCACA